ATGCAGTGAAAATTCGAGGACGAATTTCTTTAAAAGAGGGAAGATTTGTAACATCCCAAATCAGTGTCAGTGACTAAATTGCAAATTTTGAAAGTTTTGTGTTGAATTTAAAAATAAAATTAAAAGTCTCAGGATTTAAGTAAAGAATTTTAATATTGGATTAAATAGCAAAGATGGATGAACTAAAGGGGTAATATGGTCTTTTCATGGGAAAGATTTTTATCTTCCCTTTTTGAGTATTATAAAACGTGGGAAATATGAGAGAGTTCCAGACTTCTCTTCTTCATTCTCTTCTTTTCCACCGTGAAGCCATAAGCAAAGGTAAGATCTCTTGTTAGTTGATATTTAGGTGAATTTAGGATTTGGTTATGATTATTGGATGATAATTAAGCTTAAGGAAAGCTTAAATCATCTTAAAAACAAAGGATTGTGGAATTAGGAGAGATTAAAGATTTTGAGTTTTTGAATGAAATCTTGAAATAAAGTTGATAAGTTGAATTTGACTTGTCAATAAATGAATTAAGAGATTTGGAGTGATAGAAAGGAATTTAGAACATGTTGAAATTTGAGTATAATTATTGAATTTCATTAAGAGGAGAGGATTTTGAGAATTTAGATGGGTTAAATGAGTACAAATGGGCTTAAGTATGTGTGTTTGAGTTTAGTATATAAAAGAGGTTGAAATATGAAGTGTTTAAGATGAAATGAAGTAAATTTCGTGTTGAAAATATGATTTATGGGCTAGGAGAATCGGTACCCATTCAAGGGGAATGGATACCCCCTCAAACGAACCAGAAATTCCAGAATCTCATAGGGAAACCGATTCCCCCACAGGAGGGAACCGATTCCCCCTAAAGGAAAATTGTGAATATGGGTTTAATAAGTTCGTTTAAGTTACTAGTATCCAATTACAAGGAGTAGGTATCTAACGATTGCCTCAAAATGTACATTTATGTAGATTCTACGCGTAAAGCAATTCCGGAACATTTGGCAAGTAAGATCGATCAAGGGAAAGATAAGAGATTGAAATTGACTAGTGAGGCCAAGGTGAGTGCATACTAGTGACATGTAGTGTTTAATGGAAATAAGACTTACGATGAGTCTATTTCCTAGAGTAATATGCATGAAGTCATAGACATGATTATGTGTTGGTTATAACTATATGTGATTATATGTATTACATTGATTGTATGTATGCATGACTAAAGATAATGATATGCTTTGTATATACTATATGATTTATGTAAAACCTTATTATGTAATAATGGAAGAACATGGAATAAGTTATATGATAGAGTCATAAGAAATGAAATGAACATGAGAGAATAAGATAATCAAGTATAAGTCATATGATATGGTATAAGTGATTATACGAGAAATGTTAGGAGACTCTAAGAGAATAGTATAAATTCGAGGGCATAAATAAGGATACATAAGTTATATAGAGAAGATTGATAAATTAAAGGAAACTATGGTTTATGTATTAAAGTGAAGAGCTACAAAGTTTTATTAAAGAGTATTGTGGAAGTCATGAGAAATTGAACTAAATAAATAGATGGTTTATGTGAGTGAAAAGGGAAAATGATATAAAATAAGTGGAAATTATTTATAGGATAGAATGATACTAATTGAACCTGTAATATAAACTTTATAAAGGAGTACTTGGGTAAAATCATTATATGATACAATTATAGAATATTACTATACAAATTATATTAAAATAGTATATATGAGAATATGAGTAAGTTTATAGGTTATTGATAGGACATATAAGAGTATATAAATGTATGATAATATGAAAAAGTGAACTAAGTTTAATGATGTTGAACCCTATGAGTAGAAGTTATGTGATTATAAGTAACATGATTATATGATCACAAGATATGATACATGATATGAGATATATGAAAGAGAAAATATATGTTATATGAAATATTATATGACTATGCGATTATATGAAAATGTTCTACGTGTAAGTGAACCATGTGTTTATATGTATATGGGATGTGTGATTTATATGACGATGAACTATGTGAAAGAACTACATGACTATGTGTATATGTGAATGTATGTTAACATAAATATTAATGCTCATGTTATGTGTCATGAGAGCTAGGGGTATAATTGGCATGCCAAGAGTCGAGGGTCTACGCGGTCCTTCGGGACATATATGTATTCTTTGGAACATGTGTGAAGTCTGGTGAGACACATACTTGATCTCTAGTATATGTATATGATTCTTAAGGAATGATATGTGGTCCTTATGGACATTATTATATGGCACTACGGTGTAATTCTACGCGGCACTCCGGTGCAATTCTACGTGGCACTTTGGTGCAATTATACGAGCTATGGTGACAGTATAGTGCACAACCTCTATAGACTCACATATCTATAGTTCTCACATGTGTACATGGGCTTTGAAAAGAGAACATAATTTGATATAATGATATGTGTATTTCTCGTGACATTGTAGAAGTGCATATATGTCATGGTGATATGAGATGTTATGCGTTTATGTATTATATGATTATAGAAATTAGTAATATATTGTGGCATATTAAAATATATATAATATGTTTATATTCATTATATACTCATATGACAGAATTGAAGTAATGACAAGGGAATTAGTAAGGATAAACAAGTTGGTGATATGAGAACAATGTATGTGATATATGTATATGATGTGTGATATGAATTGTATGATATGATATATGTGTGATAGGAGTTATGGTATCTGTTACATAATATACATGAATATATGTTGATGTATATATAAATGAGTTGTATAATTTGATAGCATAAAATAGTCATGCATGATTAATGGGTATGAATTCCATTAAATGTGTTTTCTTTATGCCTCACTAAGTCATCGACTTAGCGTGTGAGTGTTTCACACGCAGGTTACAGAAAGTGAATATAGAAGCTATGAGGAGCAATACAGGTCAGCATCTCCCTTACAAGATTTCAGATCAGAAAATAGATGAGTTAAATGATTTTTGTTATTTTTGAATATAGTTGGCATGTACTAATTGATTGAGTTAAATATGCTCTGATCGATTTTGGTTATGGTGGTCAAATTATGTAACTAAATTGCTTTTACTTTAATGAAAGTTTTAAATTTTCTTTGAATTTTGTCAAGAGTCAAAGTTTGAAAAGTCAATGTGACACCTCGGACTCGTATCCGGGTCGGGTACGGGTTGGGGGTGTTACATGTAGTATCGATACTAGGGTATCGATATCAATAGTAGGGCATCGATACTATAATTGAAAAGGAATTCCCGAATGCAAAAAGGGTATCGATACTAAAGTGGGTATCGATACCATAGAAGGGAAGTATCGGTACTAGGTATAGAGTACCGACACTGTTCAGCTTGAAAATGAGAATTTGGTGTTTCCTTTAGTATATGAAAATGCTAATTTTGGTTATGTTCATATATAGATTTCAATCAAGTATAAGTACCGGACGGCACGATGTAGTAAGAGATTTAGTGAAAGTGAAAAGAAACTTTGCTTAAGGACTTAAGTGAGGTAAAAGTGAGTGCATTTTTTTATAGTTTTATATATAATAGGAGGAAGACTCATGATACCTCGAATGTTTTGAATTTTTTTTTGAATTTTATTATGAAATACTTTTATCATGTTTTTGTAAATAAATTTTGAATAATTTGGCTTGTGAGGAGCCAATCTTAAAAGCTTAATAATGAAAATGATTTGATTTATGTTATGTTATAATATTTTTCAAATAGTTAATATATTCGTATTTATGAACTATGAGTATATTATATATGTGATTACATGAGAATGTTGAATAAATACTATGTGAAATAAAATATTATGAGAATAAGTTCTATATGAATAAATGATAAACTTGGATAATGCTACGTGAAAATATATATGTTTATATGTGCTAGTGATCGTAGTCTATGTGAATAAAACATACTTGAATAATAAATGTGAAATAATTATATGGAATAAGCCTAAAGTATATTTTATGAGAATTAGGGGTATAATTGGCATGCCAAGAATCGAGGGTTCTACGCGGTCCTTCGGGACAAATTCTACGTGATCCTTCGGGACAAATTCTACGCGGACCTTCGGGACAAATCTATGTGGCACTTCGGTGCATATTATACGTGGCACTTCGGTGTAAATTATATGAGCAATGGTGACTGCATTATAGTGCACAACCTCAATGTACTCAGATAAATTGAGTTCTCAATAATATACGGTGGGCTAATTAAATAAATGGATATAAATTAAACAAATTGATATGAATTAAAAAGTGTATATGTAGTTATATGAAATGTAAATTGATTATAAATTGAACAGTGTCTAAAAGTATATATGTTAGTGATATGAAAAGTAAATTAATTTTCTTATTATGTATTTTTCAATGAAATGTATAAGCAAGTATTTTTAAATGTTTTATTATACTCATAAATGTCTCACTAAGTCAAAGACTTAGCGTGTGATTGTTTTTACACGTAGGTTCAGAAACGTCAGCAGAATAGACAAGGGTAGGACATCATATCTCTGAAGGATATCAACCCAGAGTGAATTAAATAGTAGGTGAATTGATTATTTGCAAATTGTTGGCATATACTAAAAATGTGTAAATCATAGATGTTCTAAGTTTTGCTTTCATTGTTAAGTTTTAGTCATATTTTAAAAGAATCAAAACGTTTGAAAAGTCAATGTGACATTTCGGATTCGTATATGGGTCGGGTACTGGTCGAGGGTGTTACATAGTATGTACATGTGAAAGAGTTTAGTCAAAACTAGGTCTTTTAAAAAAAATAACAATTAAAGTGGCTATAATATAATTTTAAAAAATTAAGTAATCAAAATAAAAAATAAAATACAAGTGACCACCAATATTGTTTAGCCATTTATTATTTCTTAACAGTTAAGACAATGGCCAGGGCCACACTATATATAACACAGTCTCCGCTTCCTCAACCAAAAATTCTCTCTATAAAAAAAAGGCTCCTTCAAATACACGTCAAAACCCGTTGCCCTAATTCTCCCCTTTTGTCTCCATCCCCACAATGGCTGCCAACACCATCAAAATAACCCTCCGATCCTCCGATAATCAAGAGTTTGAAGTCGATGAAGCTGTAGCCATGGAGTTCGGCACCATCAAGACTTTCTTCGACGATAATCTTGACGCCTCCATTGAACCCATTCCGCTCCCCAATGTCTCCTCCAAGTGTCTCTCCACCATTATCAAGTACTGCAAATTCCATCTAGGACTTCGCTCCCGAGACCACTCTTCGTTGGTGGCGGATGAAGCCAAGGCCTACGATGATGAGTTGGTCGATCCCCTTGACAATGAGTCGTTGATCGAGTTGGCGTTGGCCACTCATTATCTCGATGTCAAGGATATGCTTGATATGATAAACCAAGGCATTGCTGACAGGATTAAAAATAAGAGCGTGGAGTATGTGAGGAAGCTTTTCGGAATTGAGAATGACTATACGCCGGAGGAAGAGGCGGAGATGAGGGCACAATATGAATGGGCGTTTGAAGGGGTTGATCCGGACGAAGATTGATTGATTTTGATGATCGGGTCAGGGTTTTACAGTGTTTGTTTTCTTTTCCCAGTTATTAAAAGTAGTTGTTTTAGTTCCTTGAACTGAAACTTATCATAATTTCGTTTTTTGGAGTTATGTGATTTGGTAGTAGGTATATGCTGAAATTGCGTTTGAAAATTTATGATGGTGAGATTTTATGTGATTTGATAATTGGTATCTGCCTTAATCACTGAGAAATCCCTATTAATTAAATTCGAGTAGTTACCTCTATTAAACGTCTACAATATCAAAATGATACTTAAATAACGTTATTGATGAAAATTGCACTATTCTAGTAAATGTGTACCCATGTGGGAGCATCTTCCAAAAAAACGTATTTTCCACTACATATCTTTACCGAAAATTTTAAAATACAACTTGTTAACTTTTTAGGTTGGACATAATGACATTTTAAGGAAATTGAAAATGTTATAAATTTATACAACTTTTTTGTTTGTAAATCCTAAACCCCATAATTTAAATTTTTGGTTGCAATCAAAAAATTATAAATTTGTATAACTTTTTAGGTTGAACACCAATATTTTAGACTGAAAACTGCCTTAAATTAGCATTAAACTAGGCTACCGTACGACAAAAGTACCCTGCATGTACCTACTTGAAGGGTTATAGGTAGCTTTTCTCATGTTATTGTCATCAAAGACCAAAATATAAAGAAATTCGATGTCTGATGAATACCTTTAACATAAAATTGCTTTTGATTGTTGTCTCTCATTAAGAAGATGAGTCAAAGTGCATGTAAAGAAACTGAGAATAAGCCATGTGCTAAGTAAGCAACGGCAACTGAGATCACGGAACTTGCTGGATTCCAAGTAACAATAGCAAACATGATAACTTATGCAGTAAACGTGTCCAATGTAAGGCTCCCGCTAAGCAAACGAAAGTAAAGTGCTGAAGAGAATGCGGTTTTTGGGAGAGCAAAATGTATAGGTAGTAGACGATAATATATGAGCTATGTTGTTTACTAATACAAACATAATTATGAAGATCTAAAAGTGAAAAGTAGTTATTTTTCTGACATTGTTAGCCTTGGCTGATCTATTCACCAAAGTGTCTCCATCAATCTTTTGTAATACTTCTACTTCTTCTGGCAATACAGTTCCGTTTTAGATAATCTGAGTAGAGACCATGGAGGTGCTGGAATTGACAACACTTGCTGAAATATGCATGTTGCATTACACTTTTGTATTTTGAAAGTGTGAAACTTTTGGATATTTTAGTTTGCTTTTAAGGATGCTGACAAGCTAATGAGCTTGCAGAAGAATGCAGTGAAATAGTATATCTTATAGGCAAATCGTATCATTTTGGGAAGTGAAGAATAGATTACATTATATTTATTTTCTGGTATAAAGAAGTATACAAAAGCATCTAAGATAAAGTCATGTAATCTTAATTCTGATCGCTCCGTCCTGAGGTTCTACTTGTCAGAAGCTCGACAGCTCCTTGATGCTTAACCTATAGAATCACTGTATGTTACACTTGGCGGGAGGCTAACGGTGCGGCACAAGCATTAGCTCAGTTTGTTTTTATTACTGCGTAACCTTTGTACTTTGAACACAATATCCCATCTTGTCTTCCTGCTATTGTAACTGAAGATGTATTTTTAATGAATGAAAGATGGTTTAATTTCAAAAAAAAGAAAAAAGAACAGAAGCTAAAGTCATATAGGCCTCTCCATTACATCTTATTATTCTCAATTTACACATCCATACACATATAAGCCAATGCTGTCATATAATCTACACATGAAGCTGTGTCTTTTTATCACCATTGTATTACCTGATATTGTATTAAAATTACCAGTAACAAATGTCCATTGTGCTGAACAGTGCTCTTCATTAGTCTTAGCACATGTGCTATCAGGTAAGCTTCTCCCCCCAGTTATTGATTGGAGTAGTTAACTTGGACTGGAAACTTAGCATTTCATTCTTTACCTTACGACTCTGAATCAATCCCCTTCTAAAATCACTGCTCCAATTGAAACGTAAGACGGGTCTATAATATCGATAGCATTGAGTGTAACTGAAGACCCTATTCTTGCTCCAAGCATCTCAAACCAGTAATTTAAGAACATTGTTCCCCTCAAATGGTGTGCAAGAACTTTGAGGCTATTTGTTAATCTTTGTAAAGTGGCCCACCACTTAACATTATCAGCTAACCAGGGGAGCAAAGGCCAAACATACGAAATAAGCTAGCCACTGGTTTTTATATACCATTGTATTGTTCGGTGAGGTGAAAGTCACGAATGCAAAAACTAATAGATATGCAGGCAGCCTACATCAACAAGATAGACACAAAAACAAGCTGGAATTGATGGTGAGGTGGTAGGCGTGGGCTTGGAGTTCGGCACTGAAGAGGAAGGTTCGACCATGGAGGAAAAAGATAGAAGAGGAAGAATATAACGTTTCACTTTAGCATTTCTTAAGGATAACTAACAAAAATGATCATTAAGAAAACAAATTAAAAATTTACTAATTGTATTACAAGTTTTAAAAATTTAGTGATTAAAATGCAAACATCTTAAAAGATCAGTGATAATTTATGTAGTTTACCCTTAAACAAGCTTACTTAAGAGTACCAAAACTAGTTAAGGGACATGATTCATTAGTCATATAAATATTAGTCACATTCATTAGTAATTTTTTTAATAGTAGCCGTTAGTCTTATTAAAAAGTAAAAATATTTAAAATTACAATAAGAGTTTACAATTATCATTGTAAATTAAATACATAATTTAGACATTTTCCTATAACATTGAAACTAATCACTTTATATTATTTAAGGAGCATACATGAAAAAAATTAAAAATTTAACCAAAAGAATCGGACAAAAAATTGATACAAACAAATCTAATTGAATTGGCAAACGAACGATAAAAAGAGATTCAGCTATTGACAGACCACCGAGAACCGTAAATTAGAGTCGAGCGTCATGATAAACTATCCACGAACACAAAATCACGTATCCAAATAACAAAATCCAAATTATCAACAACAAAAAGTTTCTTTTGGATGATTATATTCAACAAACTTGTTTGAAAGAGGACATCACTGTGACCTTCAAAACACAAAAGTGCATCAAAATCCAAGGACTCAATGTCGGACAATAAAACGAGTATGCAGAGCAAAGAAGATGGGAAAATTTTCAAGACACAAAGTCCGCGATAACAAAGGGAATTCAAAATTGACAGACATAAGAATAATAACACAGTCAACAACTCGAAAAATAAAAATATTCATGTCTCAGTACCAGGTACTAGTATACCTAAAAAGAAATTTGCTAAACAAAACAACTAAATTTCAGGAAGAGGAAAACATCTCTAAGAAATACTCAGATGGCAACTGCTATCCTCCCAGCTACTTGATCGAGATCCCGTTGGCCGTTTGATGTGATTCTCCTACCACTGATGCACAGCATAAGAAGATGAGATGACACAAGTTGACGAGTAGCAACGCATAATATCACTAATTGTGATAAAATTTAAACCTTTAACCCCTAGAATCTATCAAATATTATCTCATCCAGCCAAACCAATTGATATAAAGTAATTACTATATTTAATAATTAATGTTAAATCACTTGGGCTTATTCAATTAATCCAACAAATTAAGCTGGTTGAACCAGTAGGCTGCTCTTAGAAAAAAAAAACTTGGGTTGGAGAAAGCGTGGTGAAATAATATGGTTTAAAAACTTATGCAAGTGCTTGACATTGCTGTGAAAAAAGCCATGTCAAGTATAGAAATGTCAAAACAAATGTTTTTTTTTAATAATGAAAATGTAAAGATATGAGGATAACGAAATCATTTTATCTAAAAGTCAACTTTCTAGCCAAAAATACTATGTTCTTAGTTTTTCTTTTATTTGGTTTCAAACCATAATTTTAGCAAGAGCCCAAATATTATGCCCATTTGTTATTCCTTTTGCTGTGAAAAACAGCTTTTAACCTCAAAGGTTAGTTTCACATTGATGATTTAGTTAAAAAAGATTTCTGGAAAAGTACCGAACAGCCTGTTTATTGGTTCTAAAGGTATTAATTTCAGATGAAAAAAATCCTTTGGTTAGCATTACTATCAAAAAGTGCTATCGGAAATCGAACAGCCAAGTAATGCTAAACACACCCCTAAAGTCTATGAGCTAATGAAATTAACCAAAATTTTCTAATTTAGTTTCATTGTTGGATATGAATTTTTTTTAATACCAACAAAACACTAAAGTGAGTAGCAATCAGAGTTTGAGAAACAAAAAGATTCATACTAAATAAAAACTCACCCTTTAGGATCAATATCAATGATGTTAACATTCTGCAATTGCTGAAGAATGTGACGAGCCACAGATCCACTGCTCTTGCAAAAATGGCGAGGGCGACTTCCATTTCTCTTTGCGCCTCCGTAAATCCTCCTAAAGGCACCAACACCAAGACCTCCTCTCAAGTATATTTTTCTTGCCATGGAAGCTACAAAAGTCAAGGGAAGTATCGCTCATTAGAACATGAAGATGTATTACAATGAAGCATCATTCATAAGCTTTTTTTATTATTATTATTATATAAAATGTACTAACCAGCTCTGATAAAGTACCAATCAGGGTCATAGGGAGGAAGCTCCTTGAGTTTTCCAGTCTTGACAATATCAGTCCATGAAGGAAGCTCGATCTAAGCAGATAAAAAAAAGGAAACCCATGTTTTATTTGTAATGAAAATAACAAAAAGAAAACATAAATGTTGAATTCCAATACCCTAATTGCATCTCCAACAGTCAAATAGACAGTACACTTTAATAATCACTGAGGCGAAAAGGAGTTCAAAAAAGAAAAAAAAAAGAACCTTGCCGGAGCGCTTGAGATGGGCGGCGTATGCCTTGACGAAGTCGTGGGGGGAAACGTCCTTAACTGCCCTTGCTGCCTCCATTTTTTGGGGGGTTCTCTCTTTAATTGCGGCAGCAGAGGTTTCTTCTTTCTGCGGCCTGATAGATAAAAAAACAATTGGTTTACATAGAATTAGGGTTTCGCGCTGATGCTGCTTGTGATATCTAATTACCTATATACCCTTTCTTTACATCTCTTTTTCTCGCTTCCATGTAGGGATCATAATTTAATGACTTAATATAAAAAAAATTCTCTAAACCATACTCTTTTCTTATTTATGTGTTTAGTTTTTTATTATTATCAATTTAGGTATTTAACATTTTTAATGTTATCATTTAGGTACCTCGATCATAATAGATATTTAAAAAGTTTATCAACCACTCAAAATGTGACACGTGAAATATTTATAAATTTCTAAAAATTTTATTTAAAAAAATAAAATTACTATTATTATTAAGAAAAACACCAAAATATTTGTAAAATCTTAAAAGAAGCCTCAAAATTCAAAATCTCAAACATTCACTCCATCTGCCGATAGTCTACCGACCGTTGTCTATCTACTCACTGACCACCATCAATTGTAGTTTCAAAACCCCCAAAATCCTTAAACTTAAATCCTTAAATTCCAACACACATCCATCTCAATCGGTGGATGAGTAGTCGGTGAGCTGGTGATTGACAGTTAAGTCGATGATCGACGGCGACGGCGGTCAGTATCAAAATTGAAGACATTTGGGGTATTTTATAAAAATAAGAAAAGTTGGGGATATTTTTAAATTTAATGTATTTTATTTTTTTAAATAAAGAAAATAAAAAATCAAGTCACGTGTCAAATATTGATTGGTTGACTGGTTTTTAATAGACTTTTTTAACGGTCATTACGACGTACCGTAGGCACCTAAATGATAACCGTTGGAAACATTAGACACCTAAACTGACAAAAAAAATTAGACACCTAAATGAGAAAAAAAAAAGTATGGTTTGAACATTTTATTATATTAAGCCTAAAATTTAATTCTAAACGGATAAATTTTGACTCGACCTAACTCGATAGAACTATTAAAAAAATTAGGATCGGCTAGCTTCGAGTTTAAGATAAAATAAAATTAATTTAATTTAAAATAATAATATAATTTCTTTTATATATTTAAAAATAATTGTCATAATATTCTTCCTTATAAATTTTTTAGTTGAATTATAATTTTTACTGAATAAAAATAATTTTATATATATGTATGTATATTTATGTAAAATCATATAATTTTTACTTTTAAGAATTCGAGATAAATCAAATTTGAATAGAAAAAATATATTTTTTAAATAAAATCAGACGAAGAATTTATACATTTTTAAATCGGATTTAAATAGAAAATATATGTTACTCAAATCCAATCAAATTGACAAAAAATACTTTCCGACCTAAATCATTCTCATCTCTAATTTCATGTGTCGGGCCTCTGCAATTTTCCGAGCTTCTTGTCTCCCGCCATGTATGCTCTGCCCAATCGATTTGGCAGAAACAATGAGATAAAGCATTGATTGATTGATTTATTTATTTATTTTTGTTTTAAAAAAAAAGATTGCCTTTTTAATATTGTTTCTGAAAACTATGATTGAAAAATACTTTTAATTTTTTTAGAACTACTTTTAAATTATTTGGTAGTGTTTAGTATTATTATTAAAAACATTTTTTAAAAATATAAATAATCATTTTAGACATGATGTTGTAACTTATAAATTAAAAACTTTTTAAATTATAATATTATAATATATTATATATATCAACTTAAATTATGACAATATATAAAAATATTCTGAATTATAAATAAATAATTTTTAATAATTTTACATATTCTATGAAAATATAAATTTTAAAAGAATTTTATATAAAGAATTGGCATAAAAATATATAAATTTATAAATAATTTTTTATAATTATTCATGATTTGACTCCAAAATACTTTTTCAAAAAAAATTTAATTTTGCGTTTGAATTGAAAAACAATTCTTATTGATATTTTCTTTTAAAAAGCAATAAGAAAGGACTTTTTAAGGACTTTGGCTATTTTCTTTACTGTTCTTATTGAAGATGTTATTTAAGTATGATGATTATGATAAAATTGATATTTCTTTCAAATAATTTTACCATTTTTCCTTTTGAGTTTTTTTTTGGTTCTTCAATGTTTTTATTATGGTTAATCTAGACCGATATATATCGCATACTTAATTTTGATGGTGAATATTTTAGTAAAATTTTGTAAATATATAAAATTTCGAATTTAAACATGCTCAAATAAATAGACTTTTTTTTAGTATGTGTATTAGGTGATTGAGATAGATAAACTGAATAATTGAAACGGGTTAATTTGGTAGCTAAGATGGACATATTGTTATATTTATATAAATGGGTTTAGGTTGGGATAAAAATGTAAAGAATTCATAGCTAAAGAAAAGAGTAGAAAGGATCGAGTTTGAAACTAATCTAGCGGTGGAGAATTTTTTTAAGCTTTTCTGGAAAAGATTTAAGTAAGTTATATTATTTTAGTTTAATTATTAAATAGTAGTTATAAATTGTATGTTGCAGTTTTTTTATAATTTTTTTTATTAATTTGGGAAATTATAAAATAATATATATTTAAAATACTTTAAATTATTTGACAATAAATACTTAAACATCTCTATATACTCGTGCTTGTAACACCCTAAACTCATTCATGCTTAAAGTATCACAAGTCAAGGTCCCGACAGACCCATTAATCATAGCTATAAGACATTTCCTTCAACATTCAACAATCTATCTTAAAAGAAAATGGTACATACAAAACGACTTGTTTTAAATTTTAATTTTAAAAGTGGAGCTCCATCTATATCTAGTATTAACTCAAAAATAAAATATTAATCCTAAAACATTTTACAACAAAAAAAATATTATAATGACCAACACCATAATGACTACACGGATACATCGGCTCGACAAAAGAATCAAGTATAGTACTCTAATAAATGAGGTTGCGATTCCACGATGATGACGCTCCTTAGCTTAACAACCTGCTCCTACGAAACCTAAGATGGCAAAAATAATTTATAGAGTGAGTCACTAGTGTCCTGTAATGAATAATTATTCTAAGAGATTTATATCATAAAAATAGGTAATGTAAGCGAAAAGCACATGAACTATAACACTTCTGATTGTTACACGTCTATATATATATACACCATTTGTGTATAACCTTCCATCCATGAAACGGTTAAACATTATTATTTTTGCATGATTGAAACATTTAAGTATCCCGGTGCAATGCACTTACATCTTACGGAATTCCTATGCGAGTCACCCAAAATAATATATGATTACGTGCTATCGTGTGAGTCACACTAATCCTTTGGGATTCCCGTGCTTATCATCTATAATTAAATATAATTAAGTTTTCCCGTGCGAATCACTCTAATCCTTCGAGGCTCTCGTGCGAGTCACCCGAAATAAATTGGAATGGCATCGAGTCATTCGAGCATGCAACTATAGTCACAATTATTTTCTTTATAATTATATGGATCCACAAAAAATAAGAGTACATTACCATAGACAAAACAACTAGGATGAAAACTCATTTTTCTTCTACCTTCAAACTTTTTCCTTGCCTTTACCTTGGAAAGACTCTCCTCCTTCTTTCACTAGAATAACGGAAAAATAATGACTTATAAAATGTTAACAATGAATAAAAATAGAATTTGATGCAACTGTGATTATGTTATTCTCTCAAGCAACTCTTCACGCACAAAGGTTCACCAGGATACCCTTGGTATAAATTTTGTTGCGGAAGACGGCTATCGGATAGAGCAAAATCGCAACTGATAATTTGAGAAAATAAAAATGAAGATAAAAAGAGACAAAATTTACGTGGAAAACCCCTAAATAAAATAGGGTAAAAACTACGGGCAACGGTAGAAGAATTTCACTATGAGAAAATAGGAATTACAACCTCTCTCGATCTACCAAGGAGAAAACAATGATAATTCTCTCTCGATAAAAAGGAGAAAACAACTCTCAAGAAACTCTCTAAATTCTCTCTAGTATTGGAAGAAAGCTAGAATGCTTTGGGATGGTTTTGAAGCTAAATGAGATAGGGTATTTATAGTTGAAGCTTAAGGACTAATCTTATAAATACTCTAAATTTTAGTGACTAAATTGTAATGTTCCCATTTATCAATTTTCCACAATTGCTGCTCCACCGAATTAAGCATGTGCACCGAAATTTTTGCTTGATTTTTTCAATATGTTTGGCCACTTTACTTGACTTTTCAACAATCTCCCACTTGAAGATTTGATTAGAACAATCATATATTCACACCATTCTTTCTACCTTGTACCTTCATGTTGCTTACGTTTCTGACAGGCCACAAGAGGATCGACACCAGGTAAATTTATCAGCATTGATCGCCTTCGTCATGAAATCTGCTATGTTGTCTTTGGTATGGATCTTCTGCATATCTACCGTTCCTTCTTCCACCTTTTCACGAATGAAATGGTATTGAACTCGTATGTGCTTAGTCCTTGAATGAAATGCTGGATTCCTTGCTAGATGCAAGGCGCTTTGACTGTCACAAAACAGAGAGACATACTCTTGATTGTGCCCAAGCTCCTCCAATAACATCTTCAACCAAATTGCTTCTTTACTGGCTTGTGTAGCTGCTACATATTTTCCTTCTGTTGTGGATGTAGCCACAATTGACTGTAATTTTGAAACCCAGCTTACAGCTTCACCAGCAACTTTAAACACGTATCCTGTAGTATATTTGCTTTTATCCAAATCCTCTGCATAGTCAGAATCAACATACCCATTGATAAGCAAATTTGATCCTCCGTAATATAATGCAACATTTGAGGTCCCTTTGATGTATCTCAAGATTCTCTTTACTGTATTCCAATGCTCTTTGCCTGGATTCGCCATGTACTGACTAACCACTCCCACTGCTTGTGCAATGTCTGGTCTTGTGCATATCATAGCGAACATTAAACTTCCCACTGCTGATGCATACGGTACTCGAGACATATACATCCTCTCTTTTTCACTGCTAGGACTCATACTGGAGGATA